GACTGCACAGAGGTGTTTCTGGGGAAAGGGATGACAACCAAAGCCCTCAGTGCTCTGTAATCTGCTGGGGCAGCTGGGTTGCAGCTGGCCTTTTCGGATGCAAATATACTTTTCTGAGGTAAGTTAACTTGCATGTGTGATAGCTTTGTTTCATCCTTTCCAGAAAAGATGAACGCACTGACTGATGGTGGCGATCCAAATCTGGCCCTCAAATTCCAGTAAAAGGGCTTCAAATCCCTTCTGCAATGAGCTCAGCCCTGCACATTTGGCAGCCTGGGGAGCAAGCCCCAAGAAGGAGCACTCCCTGTCCATTACCAGGGACAGGACGTGGGACTATGTGGATATTTTGCTGATGCAGAATAGCGATTACATTCCGATTTTTGGGATGTAGGGCTTTTTTTGATGAGATGTTGAAGAATGAATTCCCATGTGCTATGTGGGAATTAAAGCTCCTTTTGCACTTCCCACTGGAGTTAAGACTCTGGCCTGGTGTCAAAACATCCCTTCCTCTCTGATATGCATTATGCCAGTAAGTAGCTGCTTTTTGCCTTAGTCTGCTGTAAACTTCGGGGTGTGCTTTGAGGTAGTCATGCTGTTGCCACTCTAAATTCAGATGCTTTAAAAGATTTTTTTTTTTAATAGTGCTATTTTCTTTCTTTGTGTATTTTAATACACTAGAGACGATGGAGATGCTGTCCCAGTTTTCCCCTCACCCTAGATTTAGACCAGTGTAATCTCATGGGCTGTACTTTTGACCTATGCAGCTGAGGTCAGATGCAATGTAAAGGAATGATGTGGGAGCAGCTGTGGAGTGAAACGTGAGAGCTCTTCTGCGTGGGATCCCACACCAGAATAGCCTTTGTTGTAAAACTACTTGATGAAACCTAATGTCTGAATTTTCTTTTTTTCAGTCAGAAGGTGATTAAATCCAAAAGACTTCTCATTCCTTGAGTTTGAGACTGAAAATAGGGAAATTAATTTATTTCTGAATTAAAATAGTCACTCCACTTCATTCTTATAAATGCTGTCTTATGACTCCATGTACCTCTTTTTCTTTCTCCTTTAGTTTTCCTAGGTCTAGGTTTGGAGCAAGGCAAATAAAGTGAAGTATTACAACAAAGAGAGGGGAAGTGATATGAAAAGTGCTTATCATTAATATTTGAAGGAGCTATTGATTTTCATGTCCTATGGTCCACCGATGTTTGTGAAGTATGTTTCATTTTGTAAAAATATTTCCAGAAAGTCTACTCTGTATGCAAACTGTCGCCTGGGTTACCATTTGTCATTTAAATTGCTGGGTAGTCCTGCTGCATTGCCACAAGCAGTTCACAGTATTTCCATTGTTCTCTATCTGCATAAAAGTTGAGCTTTTAAAAGTAACCTAGATACCTGGTAAACCTGGTGTTTATTTACAGCTCTGATTATACAGTGTCTAAAGATTATTCCATTCCAAAGATTACATTCCAAGGAGGCCACGGCTGTAATGCTTTAACAGACATTGGGCAGAGGGCTTCTTGGGGTCTATCAGCAGTCAGGTTTTAGAGGATTTTAAATCTCAAAATTTAGAGGATTTTCATAGAATCATAGAATCGTTAAGGTTGGAAAAGACCCTTAAGA